TAAATATGCCAGTATAGTTAACATTGTTGCTATATTGGTCTAATCCCTAGGTTACCTCTTATTCCAAATTTTATTAATTTGGAAGTAGTATACAGTAGAACACTGGTAATGGATTACTCAGGATTGGAGGTTTGTAACTTTAAACAAAAGGTTATGGTTCTTTCAAAAGTTTACAACTGAACATTGACATTATACAGCTTTGAAGCTTTACCATGCAAAAGAAAATGGTTGTTTTTCCCCTTAGTCTTTGCTGCTGCTGCCTTATTGCATACTTCTGAGGTGTGTCGTTGACTAGTCTCTTTGTAACAGACTACTGTGTAAATTCAACTTGAAAAAAAAATCCTCTTACTCTGAAATAAGGGTGTTCACAGTGAGGACGGACAAGGGTAACACTAAAACTTCCTGTGTAGATAAGCCCCTGTATAGCTCCCTTCAGGTGGGAGCACTGGGGATCTGTAATCCTCTTATGGGGGTAAAACTTAAAGTTCCTGGATTTAACTTGATACTAGTGACTGACACAGTGTAGATATGGCCACTGAGGTTGCTTTATCTATTGCTGAATTACATTTATTCTGCTGATGTTTGAAACTAGTAGGTGGAACTTCAGTTATTCCAAATCTAAAGCTTATGCCAGCAAGCCTTTTATTTAGTAAAAGTTAATTTCAAGGAATATGAAGGTCTGTCATTTAAAAAAAACAAAAAACACCTGAAATGTGTTCCTAGATAGGCCAAAGATAAAATTGTAAGTTAATAGGGGGCTGAAATCTGCCCTCTGTGAAATCAATTTTCTTGGGTTTTTTTTCTCCTTGTAACTTAATCTTAAAGATCAATGTTTTAGTGAAACTTGGCAAAGCCCATTCTACTATTCAGATGTAACTGATTGGTAGAGGTCTGTGGAGGGTGGGGGATTAATAGTGGTACTAAGAAATGGAGAGTGAACTGGAAATTAAACATAATTGGACAGTGATTGTAAAAAAAAACAAATTAATCTGAGTCAAAGGTAACACACAGTGCCCAAAGTACAGTAATTCCTCAACATTGTTATGTTTCTGAAAAATGTAATAAGTGTAATGTTAAATGAATCTCGTTTTCCTGTAAGAATTAATATAAATGAGGGATGTGCTAAGTTCCAAGGACATTTTTTGCCAGGCAAAAGGCATTATGTACATAGGCAGTGTAAGTTTTAAATGACAGAAAGAAGAGGAAATGTGGCTGCAGGGATATGCCCCTCCCTCCTTGCTTTGTGCATGCAAAGGCAGAGAGATACAGCTCACTAGTAGATAGATTGTGGCCATCCATCAGAAAGAGCTGCTGCTTGACCCCTGGAGGGTGGGCACTAGGGGAAGCAGTTCAGAGGGAAGAGGTTGAGGTGTTCCACTTCTGCTACAGCTGAAGGCATTTCTTGTGGTGGGATATCCCTGCTGTGCCTAATGAATGACCCTGGGCAGATCCCCTTTGGCAGCAGATGCTGTGTTCCCTAGCCAAGGCCCTGGCTGAGAACATGCCTTCCTGATTGTGTCTCCGGCAATCCCTGTGCATAGGCTCCACCCCAGTGATGGCTGCCAAGTGGGAGTAGCCTATGTGTAGCTGGGCAAAGGAGCTGCTCTTTCTACTGTTTTAACTTGCTTTTCGTGGGCTGCTGCCCCCGTGTTTTCTTATCCCTTCGAGCAAAGGAGGGGAACTGAACATTGTGTATAGAACTGTATTCAGCTGCGAGACAGGCACTGCTGTGCATCTTTCCCCTCCCCCACCTGCTTTGCAAGTGACCTCTCAGGCACTCCGGGTGGTGCCCTATTCCCTAGAGCCGTGGTCACCAACCAGTCGATCGCAAGGCGTTCGGGCAACCCCACCCCCCATTTTTCCCCCACCCCCGAGAAGCCCCACTACCTACCTCTAGTGTAGTGCCGGCTTC